TCTCTCAAATAAATAAATAAAATCTTTAAAAAAAAAAAATTAAGTAAAAAATACAACTGTTAATTAACAGTTTAAAATAGCAACAGAAGTGAAAGCACAAGGGCATGTTAATTGATATTTTAAGGTTCAGTTACTTAATGTTGGAGAAATTTGTGGGAGAGGGAGAACACTTCAGGATGTGGAAGGAAATGATTTTCAGCTGAAGTGGGATTTGAGCTGGATCCTGAAAGGGTAGAATTTGGATTGGCAAAGAGGAAGAGAGTCCTGGTTGACTGACACAAAGAACTTGAGAGAATTTACAAAGATTGTGTGTGGAAATATCAAGAGTAAACTGGTTAAGCTATAGGAGAGTCTGGGGAAATAATCTGCAGTGAGATTAGAAAGCAAAGCTGGAGGGGCGCCTGGTGGCACAGTTGGTCACGCAACAGACTCTTGGTTTTGCTCAGGTCATGATCTCAGGGTCTGGATCTCAGGGTCATGAGATGGAACCCCAAGTTGGGCTCTGCGCTCAGCGAAGAGTCTGTTTGAGGATTCTCTCTCTGCTCCTCCCCCCCACTCTCTCTCTCCGTATCTCTCTCAAATCAATAAATAAATCTTAAAAAAAAAAAAAGGGAAAGCAAACCTGGAATGATATTATGGAGGACTTTGAATGCTAGGCTAAGGAAAATGAGGTTGATCTTTTTGGTCAGAGAAGATCTTTGGAGAATTTGTGACTAGCATAGCAATGACTAAAATAGTGCTTTATTGTTTTTATTATTTTATTTTATATTTTATTTTATTTTATTTGGGAGAGAGAGAGCAAGTGATCAGGGGAAGGAGGAGAGGGAGAGAATATCCAAGCAGACTCCCACTGAACAAGGAGTCTAACGTGGGGCTTGATCTCACAAGCCATGAGATCAGGGCCTGAGCCAAAATCAAGAGTCAGATGCTTAACCAGCTGAGCCACCCAGGTGCCCCTTATTTTATTTTTTTTAGAGGAGGGGAGAGGCAGAAGGGGAGAGAGAATCTTTTTTTTAAATTTTTATTCCTATGTTAATCCCCATACATTACATCATTAGTTTTAGATGTAGTGTTCCATGATTCATTGTTTGCGTATAACACCCAGTGCTCCATGCAGAACGTGCCCTCTTTAATACCCATCACCAGGCTAACCCATCCTCCCACCTCCCTCCCCTCTAGAACCCTCAGTTTGTTTTTCAGAGTCCATCGTCTCTCATGGTTCGTCTACCCCTCCGATTTCCGGGGAGAGAGAATCTTAAAGATTTTATTTTTTTATTTTTTTTATTTGAGACAGAGAGAATGAGAGAGAGAGAGCACATGAGCGGGGGGAGGGGGAGGGTCAGAGGGAGAAGCAGGCTCCCTGCCGAGCAGGGAGCCCGATGCGGGACTCGATCCAGGGACGCCAGGATCATGACCTGAGCCGAAGGCAGTCGCTTAACCAACTGAGCCACCCAGGGGCCCGGGGAGAGAGAATCTTAAGCAGGCTCCACACCCAGGGTGGCTCGACTTGGGGTTCAATCTCACAACCCTGAGATCATGACCTGAGCCAAAATCAAGAGTCGGATGCTTAAGCAACTGAGCCCTAAAATAGTGCTTATATACCACCTTAATAGGAAAAGCAGAGAGGCAGAAGAGCACGTGTAGAAAAACAAATAAACTTTTAGGAAATCTAGATGGGCCCTTGGGAGACTAGACGGACATATTATGGTTTTGTGACAATGTCTGTGTGGGTGTGTATCTTGAGTGGTAAGAGTCGAACTCTCCTGGTTTGTTCCAGGGGATGGGGCTTATGACAGTTGATTTCTTTTGAGTTCTTTTGGAAGGCTCTGCTTATAGGAAAATAAAGCATTTCAGAAGAAGGCAGTCTATTTTTGAATGTCTTCAGATCCAAAATAATTTTTATGCCTCAGTGGCACATCGTGGACCCCTCAACACACACACAGACACACACACAAACACACACACAGCCTCGGGCAAAATGCCTTCTGTTTTAGAGGAAGTGTCTTCCAGGTCTTGTGACTCTTCTTGGCTTAAAAACACCACCTCAGAGTTAAGGTTTACCAGCAGGATAGACTGAACATCCTGGCTGCATCTCTGTACAGCTACTTCCCCCTCAGGGGTGGCAATGACTTGTGCGTCTCTCTGGCCCACGGAGAAAGGGTATCATGTGGAACCTTTTGCTCTGTGTCTCCTCTTTCTTGGGAAAGAGAGATTGGTAATAATGACAATTGAACCTTTCAATTTAGGATCCTTTTCTCCCACTTCCCCAAATTTTAGCTTTCAAATAACCAGGGAGCAAACCCTTAACATGAGTTCTTGTTGCCAAAATAAATGTCCATGTTCCTCCAAATAAAACAAATGACTTGCATTTCTGCTTTCAGAGTTTTACAGGCCAGTGCCCATTTCATCCCCAAAGCTCTGAGTCTTGAGAGGCATGGGCCTCTAAAATCCAGTACTTGAACTTGAATAGTCCTTACATGCTCTAATGGCTTCTGGGACACTTCGAATAAAACCCATGGCTTAGAATATAAACTCCATGAACATAAAGATAGGGATTTGTTTTGTTCCCTGTTCCTGTACTTCAAAGAGTCCCTAACATTTAGTAGGCCCCTCATTAATAGCTCTACCGACTGAGCCAGCCAGGCACCCCGGTGTGTGGTTTTTAATTAAGAAACTGCCAAACTGTTTCCTAGAGGGGCTGTACCAATTTACATTCCCACCAGCAATATATGAGAGATATACTTTCTCTGCACAGTGTGGTTCTCTCTCTCTCTTATAGCTATCCTATAAAGGATAGTAGTGAGATTCATTCAGTCATTTGCTCAATAAATATCTATTACTAACCAACATGTTTCAGGCAGTGTGATAGGGTCTGGAACAAGATATACGTAATCCATACCTCACATAATTTACAATTCAGTGTTATTAGAGGCATATAAATAACAGTAAAATACAGCATGATTGCTATGATGAAGGAAGTACAAGAAGCTATGGAAACACTTAGAAATTACACATGGGAGCCTCTGAGGAATGACTTTCTCATTGCACTTAATCATTCTTGTTGGAGCCTTAAGGAAGGTTACTTGGTTTGGGATTGGGCAAATAGATTTCAGCAAAGCCCTTAGAAACTTGCTTTTCTTGATGGTCCAATACATTTGATACAGGAGAGAATCTTTTAACTCCATTTTCTGATATGGTTCGCAGGTTTGAAAGAACAGAGTATTTTTTTGTTAGCTAAATTTGTATGTGGGTGTTATCTGACATAATCATCTCTTGGTCAACAGGTCCTTCAGCTGGAGATGCCACCTTGAGGTAAGAATAATACCATCATAGTGAGCATCTAATTCAACCAAGAATAAGTGGATTTAAGAGCTGTAGGACTATAGCTTTCCATATTTTTCCTTTCTTCTTTTATCATGCTCCCACTCTTTCTTTTTTGTCTTTTCTAACTTCATTCTCTGTGATTATTGCTTTCTGTATCTTTGCTTGTATGTCTTTTGGGTTTTGTTTAAATAAATTACCTTCCAGCTTTGTTCCATTGTTGCCTTACCTTTGTTTCTTCTCTGTTTAAATCACATGATTGTATAGCCATTAGTGAAAAGGCCAGAGAACTCATTTGTCACTTTGATTTCATCTTTTTGTTTTATACTATATGCCCATTTTTTTGGATGTAGCATTATAACAGGGGGTCTTCTGTCAGGGAATATATTATTTCATGATGGGTGGAAGGACTGATCTATGTAATAAATAAATGTAATACTTTAGGGATGAGTAGAAATATTAGGATGTAATAACAAGCTGATGACTCAACCATATTGCAAAGAGTCCTCAGCACAATCCTGAGTCTCCCCTGAGTTCCAGCTGTGATGCATGGAAAATATTAAATCTAAAGATGTCATTGGGAGGGGCACCTGGCTGGCTCAGTCAGTAGAGCATGTAACTCTCGATCTCAGTGTTTTAAGTTTGAGCCCCACATTGGGTGTAGAGATTACTTAAAAATAAAATCCTAAAAAAAAAAAAAAAATGAATAAAGATGTCATTGGGAGCAGTTTGAATTTTTTTCTTATGAGGAATTAGGATGCAGAATTTAATATGGAAGAATCCTGAGGTTCTCTCTCTCTTCTCAGACTTGGCAATAGAATCTTGTTGGTGATTTCTGGCTTCTACACCTAAAATCTAGTTAGAGTCCACTGAGTCATGAAGATTAACGATTGTGTGAAGATGGGGACATGGCAACTCCATGGTGAGACAGAAAGATTAGACTATAAAGAGAAGCCTTTAAAAGTGAAACAAGGTCATATTTATACCTGAATTCTAAATTACCATGTAATGGTACAGAGACAGTGGTAACCAAATCACATGAGTTGGGAAAAATCTCTTCACTATGCCTGTGAGAGAAACTCTGATCATTCAAATGGACCTCCCTAGATAACTTTGAAAAACAGAAAAAAAAAGTTTCCTGAGACGTCATGTTTTATTTTTTCTAAAGATTTTATTTATTTATTTGACAGAGAGAGTGGGAACACAAGCAGGAGGAGTGGGAAAGGGAGAAGCAGGCTGTCCACCGAGCAGGGAGCCCGCCAAGCAGAGAGCCTAATGCAGGGCTTGATCCCAGGACGCTGGGATCATGACCTGAGCCCAAGGCAGACGCTTAACAACTGAGCCACCCAGGCATCCCGAGATGTCGTGTTTTAGATCTGCCTGATAGAAGAGGGGAGCAGGAAATGATTTCAAGTTCCCTCTAAAGATAGCATGACAACATGGGAGTGCTTTTTGTATTTCAGGAGGAGAATCAAACCCTGGGAATTTGAAGTCTTCTTTGACCCCAGAGAACTCCGTAAAGAGACCTGCCTGCTCTATGAAATCCAGTGGGGCACAAGTCATAAGATCTGGCGAAACTCAGGCAAAAACACTGCCAACCATGTGGAAATCAATTTTATAGAAAAATTTACTTCAGAAAGACAGTATTGCCCATCCATCCGCTGCTCCATTACCTGGTTCCTGTCCTGGAGTCCGTGTTGGGAATGCTCCAAGGCTATTAGAGGATTTTTGAGTCAACACCCTAGTGTGACTCTGGTTATTTATGTAGCACGGCTTTTCTGGCATATGGATCCACAAAACCGTCAAGGACTCAGAGACCTCATTAACAGTGGTGTGACTATCCAGATTATGAGAGTCCCAGGTAAAAACAATGAACAAAGAATCTTGAGTGTTTATGAGAGACCGTGGTGCTGGCATGTTTCAAGGCCAGGAGATTGATTATCCCACTCTGGAAGTCTCAGAAGTGAAAGTCCAAAATAACGTAAGAAAGGACCGGGTCTGAATTTCATAGTAAGGAAGTATCAAAAAGAGGACTCCTTTCTCCATTCCTGCCACTATGACCTCTCAGCCATCTTCATCTTTTTTCTTTTTTAGGGATTCTGGGGAGTGTAGGCCTTCTCCAATGACAAAGAGGCTAATAGGCTTTGTATAAAGTATATCTATAAGTTAGGCTCCCTTTAAAGTAAGTTTCTGCTGTATTTGTTGAATGAACCAAGATTTGTGTTTCCTCAGAGTATGATCATTGCTGGAGGAATTTTGTCAACTACCTACCTGGGAAAGAAGATCACTGGCCAAGATACCCTGTGCTATGGATGAAGCTGTATGCACTGGAACTCCACTGCATAATTCTAGTAAGTTACTTTAAGGGGTAGAGATTCTGATGCCAAAAGAAGCATCCTTCTTCAAACTTCTTTTTTGATGAATTGACATGTACTTTCCTCACCATCTCTTTGCCATTTATATTGAAATTTGGTTATTTAACTACTTGATCCACCTGAAGAAAATGTGAGAACAAAACAATCTCTTTGTAGGAAGAAAGAGGGAGAAGGGAGTGGATAAACTGGTCTAAGATATATGCGGACTCCACGTTAACTTGATATTATTATCATTATTATTACAACACTTGCTAGCTCTACAGAATTGCAGATATTCTCCTTTCCCATATTGGTTTGTGCCATCCTATTGAAGAAATAAATGGAGGTGTCCCATTTGTATTCTCTTCAAAGTTGTTTAATAGTCTTCCAACTAATGTTTTAGAATGTTTGTGGTAGGGGCATCTAGGTGGCTTAGTCAGTTAAGTGGCCAGCTTTTGATTTTGGCTCAGGTCATGGTCTTGGGGTCCTGGGATCAAACCCCACATCAGGCTTCACGCTCAGCAGGGAGTCTGCTTGAGGATTCGCTTTCCCTCTGCCCCTCCCCCCTCTCCTGCTCACACTTCTCTCTCTCTCTCAAATAAATAATTAAATCTTGGGCGCCTGGGTGGCTCAGTC